GTATGAGGTGGTGGATGTAATTGAGGGTGGAAATGCCATCCTAAACTTCACAGCTTCTGGATTGACTATTTTCTACAAAATGCATTGTGAAAAATGGACTAAAATCACTTTGACTAGGATCGGTCAATACTGTGGCCCTGCTGATAACTGCAGCACCAGCTCGAGAACACCTGAAGTTTCAATTGAGACTGGCCGTCTAATTGTACATAATGTCACCTATAACAGATGCTACAGTTCAAAAACCATACGAGGACACAAAGAGATATTTTATAATGTTACTGTCAAAAGTGAGTATGTTACAATGTCTTACATGTGTTACAAACTTTCTTCTGGTGTTGCAAATAACATTTGACACTTTGTTTGTTTTGGGGTTCAGATGGGCTGTAGAGAAGTTCAGCCTAGTTTTATAAAATGCTTTTGTTCTTCTGACCCTTACAGAATTACACTATACCATCATATCAGAAATGTCCATCTCAAAATTCACTACTGAAACACCCGACTATAATTCAACCTCAGACAATTCCTACAACACTACATCATCCAATGCAACGACAATTATTGCTATTGTTGTTGCTGCTGCTGCGATCTTGGTGGCCATTGTTTTGTTCGGTGTCTGGTACATACGCAAAGTAAGTATTATCACAGTAATTGAACTGTTCTTAATTTGACCTCTCATTAACAACTGCGTTCAGGTAAAGACTGTGTTATTGCGTATCAGAGCAAACACTTTCACAGCAATGTGAATGCTAAGTCTAATTTTATATCCAGATGTAAAAGCAGTGGATGGGCAAAGCACGACTTAATTTTAATTCAAAGGCCACACTTGCTAGTTAGTTTGCATTTCGTCGTTATCATTATATGGCTCAAAACTAATCCAATTTAACAGCATAAAATCTTTTTTGTGCACTTTAAACCCAGCGGAGGTACGTACCAGTGAATGCAAACGTTGCTGCAGTGTAATGCCGGCAAAAGTGTCTCATGAAGAAATCATCATGGGTGAGTCCTCACAGGTGTCTTTGGCCCCCCTTTACACCTGATAGAAACACATAAACATGCATTTCATATCCACCTTATTCTTTCCATAAGAGCGGGCACGGCCATTTGTAATTTTTATGGGTCTGGTTTCCGGTCTCATCCGCTTCTAGCTATTTTTATCTGTGCAAACAGCTCGTTTTGCTGCTTGATATTGCAAATTGGTGTCTTAACTCCTTATTTAAATGTATTATCTTAATTATGAACACACTGGTTTGTAGTGCAAACAGTTTTACCATTTACTGCGCATTGTTATTCTTCTCGTTATTTCCCTATAGCGGCTAATGAACCGGAAGTCTCATCCATAGGCGTAAGTTGGATCGAGTTTGCATTAGCTGGATTGCATTTACACCACACATTCCAATGTCCCTCCACTGGGATAATAGTATGATCTCCATGGCATAAATGATAGCTGACAATGGTGAAATGGTTTATGTAGGTCAACTACATGACATATATTTTTTGGGGGAAATAAAAAATAATGACATAAGAATAGATGAAGACAGAAAATTCACCAAGTCTGTGAAAAAGGGATGGATGAAGATCATTTGTACTGCAGTTTCTCTATTACACAATACTTGGATATTTGAATGTGGCTACCAAAACTGCATTAGCATCTGAATGTGTTTTTTTTTTTAGTATTCACTATGCATCTTTGGGGCATTTACTGTACACCTTTTAAAATTAGCATATATGATCTATATGATTATGATTTGATTACTGTAAATGTATGTTAATACCAGATTTAACGGGGGCCTGTTTGTGAGTGGCTCTCTCAGGGAGAACATATCAACTACAGTCACACAGCAACCACACACCATTTTTCATGTGGAATCAGGATCATTCACACTTTAACCCAGTTCATTTGTAATATAATATGATCTGGAGTACTTCTGAATAGTTTGATTCAATAATTAGAAATGTACATTATGTGGTGGTTTTACAGGAAACCCGGAAGCAGCCAACTCGCTTCTCACAACTGTGAATGAAACTCAACTTTAGATGGCTGCTCTACCTCCAACCAGGCACTTTACTGACATCATGTCTACCTTGAAGGATTGAAATGAAGGTCAACATCAGTCAAGAAAACTATTGAAGTAGTTCTGCCCTTTGGTTCAGGCAAATCTATGACTGAATCTTTTTTTGTTTGCTCAAAATGTAAATTATAGATTTTATACAGATATTAATTGTGTTACATCTACTTTTGCCAACCTCACAAACACAAAAAAGTATGCACTGTCAACCAGCTTTGTTTCTAGACAGACTTATTACAAAAAAAAAAAGTTATCAGCCAATCAGATTAGCAATTTAATAGATGGAGAACAGGTTGTGGTGGCTTATGGCAGAATAATAATTGAGAAACTACATGGCGTCTCTGGCTTTTAAAATACACAATACCCTTACTATTGCAGAAATAGTATGTTATTCTGAATTCAGCTTGTCTTTTAGGGTTTAACAAGACCACTTCCTGTTCCACTGAATTTCCTATAAGCAACACTTGATTTTCACTGAACACTGAGTCAGAAAATGCACTGTGAAACATCTGAGCTCTATGAACGTGGGTAGTGGTGGGTTGGCAGAAAGGTAGAACCATTTCTTTTCTTTCTTCTATACAGGAAACCATCATAGAAAGGCCTCTAACTTCACATGCAAAGTGGGTGTTTACTTAGGAGTCATAAAAGCAGCAAAAAGTCAGAGAGGGGGTGAAAAATGCTTATTTAGTTTTAAATTACAGAAAACATTATACCAAGAAATATTATAAATGGAGAACAGAGGAACATTTTAAATAACATATTCCACTGACTAGTTGCCAACCTCATATAAGTATCACTAGCCTAAATGATATGATTTGTATATATGATATATGGTTTGAGATGTAAGATCAACACAAAACAATGAAAAAATACATATATTAATAATAAAAATATAATTTAAATTTTAAATGGGAAAACAAAACCAATAATTTGTATTTGTACAATGTATTTTTGTAGGCCAACCCAGATGTTTACATCATGCTGGTTCCTCTGACAAAAACCCAGTTGGATTTTTCCATTGGCTTCTGGATTATTGCAGATAAGCTCTGTGACCAACAAAAATTTGATTCGTTTTATTCATCATCATGAACAACCTAAAAAAAAAAAAGCTAAATGTAGACTATAAATGAACTACACGATGGTCACGTGACTTCAACGTCACCACCACTGAGCTTCCGACAACTCTTTTAATCTTTATTCAAAAGACATTTTCCCTTAAAGTTTGAGTTAGAATAGTTTGTAAGAGCGCGATTATAAACACAATGAGGCTATAAAAGCGTCTAGTTGAGTTTATCTGTTCATCATGATGACATTTAGGCCTAATGTCCCCAACAGCCTCTGCAGTCCTGTTGAAACACTTGTTAAAGCTAGGGTAGACAGTTTCTGATCTACAAGTAGCATCCAGTGGAACTACAAAAATAAAGTGTGTTTCCAAACCTTTGCAAACACTCCTTTTGCGTGTCACGTCTCCCCCAACTCAAACATCCCAAACACAGCTCTTACGGGTCTTTAACAGTGTGACAGGTAAAAGTAGGCTACTTTCAATAAAAGGTCCTTGAAGTTAGCTTACCTGTTGAGAAGAACTCAGCAAGTTTGTTGTACAGATATGAAACCCAAACATTGCATCAAATTTCCCATCTTGTAAAACACTGCCAGTGTTTTCCCTTTTATCCCGTTGTCAGTCTCTGTGTTTTTGTGGCAAGCAAAGACTTTAGATAGACCAAACTGTGCGCTGACTCATGGTGTATGCACACCAAAAGCGGAGCGAATATTCGCATCTAGATTACTCGATTCGCGGGATGTTTTTCGTGTCACTCGCGCAATGCTCTCCTTCATTTTCTGATACAACCGGACGTGTCAAACTGGACATGTCAATAAGCTCTTCCCTGATTGGCTTGCGCGACAGCGCATCATGCGAATTTTCTGCTGGAGTTGAAATTTTTCATCTTGCGCAGAAGAGGCGATTGAGTATATCGCGCGTTCGCGGCAATCGCACAGCCCGGCGCGACTTCGCGTCTGTTAGCGTCTTTGTATTGAATGTAATCTAAGTCGCTTTTGGTGTACACACACACCATTATGAATGGGAGAAAGTGCAACGCACAAAACAAAAAAGAATAATTGCTATTTCAACATAAGAAACAACATTTATGAGACAGTTCAGTTCATTGGTGATTTCAAATGAAATTGAATCATAAGCTCGGTGAACAGCTTTAGAGAATTTGATGTTTCCCCATTCAAAGTCATGGCCTAATGGTTAGAGAGTCGGACTCGTAACCCAAAGGCTGCAATTTCGAGTCTCAGGTCCGGCAGGAATTGTAGGTGGGGGGGAGTGAATGTACAGCGCTCTCTTCCACCTTCAATACCACGACTGAGTTTAAAATAAATTCTGATAAAAGCATCACGGCTTCCACACAAATATGATGCAGCAGCAATAATAATAAATTATTATTATTTATAATAATAAATTGTTTCTTGAGCAGCAAATGATACTAGAATGATTTCTGAAGGATCGTGTGACACTGAAGACAGGAGTAATGGCTGCAGAAAATTCAGCTTTGATCACAGTTGCATTTGCAGCATAAATGGCTGTCCACTGCTCCGGGTGTGTGTTCACGGTGTGTGTGTGCACTTAGGATGGGATAAATGCAGAGCACTAATTCCTAGTATGGGTAACCATACTTGGCCACATGTCACGTCAGACGTCACTTTCAAAGAGATGTACTTGCATGACTGAAATGGTTGCCCGAGAGGCGATGGTCGCCGAGTGAAATAACTTGTCTTAAAAGAACTTTGGAAGCAAGTCTTACAATTTTGCTTGCACTTCCGAATTTCTTTTTTCCACACTAACTAAATGCTCTCTGGCTCAGCCTGCTATTGTAGTGATTTTGTCATTTTATTTGGTGCTGCCTGTAACCTTTCATCATGGCAGTGTCTTTAGCACATAGATGGAGCTCTTCCTTGAATGGAGCACAACATCATGTGCTCAACCAGAAAGACAACAGTGCCAAATCCCACCAGACCGGACAGAACCAATCGAATCAGAACCTCAGTGACACCACAATGCTCCGGACAATCTGAAAGAGATGAGAGAGAAAAAGACAGACATGAAATCAACAACTGGCATTGTCTCTACTAAGAGACACATAAGCTGCACAGAGGTCATTGTGGCAGAAAGTGACTTCCTGTCATTTTGTTTGAGTCTGTGCACCTTCGTGTTGTGGGCAGATCTCTTTGATGTGAAGATGGACGGTCTTATTGCTCACTTGATTTGCAACTGTGCAGCTGTATGCCTCAGGATCAGTATAATGGAGCTCTAATGGTAAACTCAGGTTCATGCTGAGATCTGGATTGGTGGTCTGGTTCACAATTTCACCCCCTTTATACCATGAGATGGACACGTCTTGTTCATTTTTTACAGAGCAGAGCACAGAGCAGAGTTCTTGATTTGGGTGAGCCACCAACAAGCCAATCCTGATGGCAGGTACAGAAATTGGCTCTTTAAAACACACACACACTTTATATACTGATCATTAGTTATGAAAAAGATAATGATTTTTTTTTTGTATTGGCTATAACGAAATCTTACCATAAACATCAACTTTGAAGGTCCTCGCTGGCATGAATCCACTGATGGTGACTTCATAAAGTCCAGATTCACTGGTGCTGATGTTCCAGATAGTCAGTGATCCAGTTTCTCGGTCCAGCTTTAGTCTGTTGACGAGTCTTGGTTCATAATGAGTGAAGACTGTTCCTTTATACAGCTGTGCTATACGGGTTGTTTGGTCTCCACTTTCAAACAGCCACATTACTTCAGCATCTCTCTGTAGGCCAGTAGCTCCTGTTTGCAGAGTGACAACTTTTCCCTTCATCACAATCTTGAGCTCATCCCACCTACCATTTACAAGATCTAAAACAAAATCAAAATGGATTTAATGTGAGAGTTACAAAAATAAAAACCTACATCAGCTGTAAGAATCTAAGACAATACCTGGAATATTGCTTGGGACCTCTGTAGAATCAACCACATAATATTCAGGTTTAAATAACTATTAAGCATCTGTAGCAAATTGTCAGTTATACCACAGGAACTAATTTCAACTTTAGATTTTAAAAATAAATTACAAAGTTAATTTATATATTTTTAACACGCTTACACAATCCTACAATTTAAGATGCATGACAAGTGTAGGCCTACAGTAAATCGGTTGAACATACAAAAACCATCAGCATATTAGAATGATTTCTGAAGGATCATGACGCTGAAGACTGGAGTAATGATGCTGAAAATTCAGCTTTACATCACAGGAATAAATTACATTTTACAATATATTCAAATAGAAAACGGTTATTTTAATTGTAATAATATTTCACAATATTACTGTTTTACTGCATTTTTGATCAAATAAATGCAGCCTTGGTGAGAAAAAGAGATGTCTTTCAAACTTGACTGGTGGTGTAGCTATATTGGGGACCAGTGTATATAAGAAGTAAAAACAAAATTCTTATCCTGAGTAAATGTTCATAAAGGATTTGTTTTGAAGTGTGTGGACATTGTGCTATAAGTGATGAGGTTTTGATCTCTATTTATACGTAAGTTAAAGCAGCACTATGTAACTTTTTCTGTGTTCAAAATTTGCAAAATGTACTATATAATGAGCGAGTACATCATGAATTCATCTTCCAAACCGCGTTTTTGTCTTATTCCGAATCACTACGGTACACTTATAATAAGTACTTATATTTGGACTATTGTAGCCTGGTCGGGTCGTCACCGCTGCGGAGTAACACATACCTGCGTGAATCGCCATAGACATAAACTTAAGAGAAGTAGCTCCGGTTAGAATGTTCTTCCGCGGGATGTGTGCAGTTCTGTTTATTAACCGTTAGAGCGCCAAAAGTTACATAGTGCTGCTTTAAGCAGACAGTTCTTTGGATTAACAGTTTAAAACTGACTCTAGTGTGGTACCTCTACCTTATTTTACTCTCATGACTTTCAATAATTTTTCAGAGAACAGCAGCATAAACACTGACACATTTATTTCTCCTGGACGCATTGAGTAGAATTCGCATGACAGCACCAATGTCTGATGCCAGCCAACCAGCAACCATAACCACAAAAACATTCTGCTTGTAAAACAAAGAAACAACAACAACAGAACAACATTAGGTTGTAGATAGCTCACCTTTCACATTGATGAAAAACGCAGTGTAAACCCACATACAGGAGAATATTTTAGCAGGTATCATATCAGAAATTATTGTAGGTTTGCCTGAACATTCAGTGAAGATCTTGTGTCTCAACTACGTTCAGCAGGAAGTGACACTGACCACGACATCAGGCCGGTCCTGCCCCAGGAGAGGGGTATGTTGAGTCATCTGAAGAGCCAATTAAATTATATGAAACAGTGTTAAATTCTTATCTACGTTGGGTTGTCATAGGCCACAATAGAGCTGATTTATTGATTGATTGTCCTAGTCCATCTATGCAATCGACTTGCCTTTAAATGCCTTGCAACACAACACTCTATAATAGAAATCCTACACTCTAAAAAATGCTGGGTTAAATACAACCCAGTGCTGGGTAAAATAGGGACAAACCCAGCAATTGGGTTGTTTTGACCCAGCGGTTGGGTTACTACCCAGAAGGTTGGGTTAAACATTTAACCCAACCGCTGGGTCAAAACAGCCCAATTGCTGGGTTTGTCCCTATTTTACCCAGCACTGGGTTGTATTTAACCCAGCATTTTTTAGAGTGTAACAAAATAAAATAAAGGTAGTGAAATGTAAATTCATGTTAAATATAGTTTCTAGGTTAACTAAACACAATTTGCCCTATGCTATCCATTCTCACTTCCAAGGTGTTTAATAATAAAATTAAAACACCCATTTCAAATTTAATACAGTTTATAAATTCTCCAGTGTTTTTCTATGGTAAAAATGCAATATCATTAATGCAAGTTTATAAATCACTCATTCAAAGCTGATTACCTCTGACAAACCTCTATTGTGCATCTGCTGGACAGTAAAGAGCAGCTCTCATCTCATCTAAAGCCAGTGATAATCTGACAGTGATGTCACGGTCATGAACAATGATGGATTGATGTGTGTGTCTTATGTAACTCAGATTGGGAGTTCAGCTGAAGGTGTGAAGGGTGTCTGACGGAAATAGAGGAAAAGAGAGAAAGTTACAAGACACATGACAATGATGATAAAACAACCAATAATAGGACAAAAAACAGTAAAAATGAAAGCTCTGTCATCATTTACTCACCCTCATACAAACCTCTCTCTCTCATATATATATACACTCTAAAAAATGCTGGGTTAAATATAACCCAGCGCTGGGTTAAAAAGGGACAAACCCAGCCATTGGGTTGTTTTGAACCCAATATATATATATAGAGAGAGAGAGAGGGGACAGGAACACACTTCCTCAGAAATCAGCTGACACATAACAGCAATCAATCACATCTGGCTGCTCACTTTCCAGTGCTGTAATCAGCGAACACACCATCCATCAGATGCACACAGGCGGAATGGATCACCCACAGAGTGAAGGACAGTTTCCTGGGCTCAATTATAAGGATGAGTTAGAGACTTTCAGGTCACTCACAACTCACAGGTATGCACACAGGCGGAATGGATCACCCACAGAGTGAAGGACAGTTTGCTGGGCTCAATTATAAGGATGAGTTAGAGACTTTCAGGTCACTCACAACTCACAGGTTTTGTGTGATGTTTTGAATAATGACTGATTTAAATCTGTCCGTAATCAAGGTAACAGATTGCCAACCTGCTGTCGAGAACGATACTTTTTTAAAGCAAACAAATCAGTAATTTTGCACCATATGCCACTGTTTTTCAGAAAGAGCACTTGTATGAATTCATAGATATATATTATAGTTGCATAACTAATACCAGCTAAAAATACCATTACAAACTAAAAACCTAATAAATTATTTGAAGTTTTTAAAAGAAAGTTAAAATAATTATTAAAAAGTACAAAAATATTGTGTAATTATTTTAAATTTAAGACATAGCCTATATATAAAATATACACAATTATATATATATATATATGTATGTATGTATATATATATAATTTAAAAAAATTAAATATTAGAAAACATATATAATAATTATTACAATACATATATTGTCAGGATTATGGATCTGTTTTGTTATGTTTTGGCCGTTTCTGTTCCTGTGTTCCCTTATTTGGTCATGGTCATGTTCCTGTCCTCGTTTAGTTAATTAGTCATTCTGTGCACCTGTGTTTGGTAATTGTCAGGTGTTTATAAGTTCTTGTCTGTGCATTTTTCCTCTGTCGGGTCTACTTGTTGTGAACGTCATCCTCGTGCTCCAGTGTATTGTGACATATATGTATATACAGTATACATACACACACATTTATAAACATTTTTTAAGTAGAAATATAAACGATTGAAGGACAAAAAAAATCCTTATTGTTGAACATTGATTGTGTCCAAAAGCTTCAAAACAGACTATTTTATAATCAGTTTTCTCTCTCTCTTTCTGTCCTTCTCAAATCAAATTGATTATCTAGAGAAGGAACAGCAAATGTAATTGAACATGTATCAGTGATTAAAAAGGCCATGATTGAGGAGCAGGCACATACTCATCAAATCAAATGAGCATCTGTTGTGCTGCAGTAGAGCTCTTGATTGAGCAGCACACAGATGGATGATGCCAGATAATTACAGGCTTCTGCATCTGCTGAGAAGAGTGCATCTGACCTGAGATTAATTCACTAGCTTTACTGATCTACAGCAAACTCCATCTCACTTGACTCTATATGACCCATGTGAGAGACCCATCAGCTGGATAAGTAAATTGTCCAGTTTGGATGAATCTGCAGTGTGTGCTGCTCTGAAACCAGTTACCTGATCCAGTTACCATCAACCAGATGAGGTCAACTGATCCAAGATCTGCTGCTGTGATGCAGGAGCTCGGATCACGAATCATTAGATTTAGATCGGATCTTCGGAAAAAAATATTTTTTTCTGATTTCTTCTTTTTTTTATTAAAGAGTACAAATCATCAAACCGTTAAGGCAGTACAGTTATAAAAACAAAACAAAGAAAAAAAGAAAGTCTACAGTTACAAATCCCTTAAGAAAATGAACCATGGTTATAATATAGTAAAAGTGTAGTAACCACAGTTTTACTATAAATACCATGGTTATACTGTGGATATTGTAGCAAAACCATGGTTAATTTGTGGTTACCATGGTGTTTTTTTTCATGAGGGATGTGTTGCTGGGTCAAAAAAAAAAGTAATAAATGTACAGCTTAAGAGGACACATATAGAGATACAGTTTTGAACGTTTTAGGATTAACAGAGCTTTGGATAGTGTCCATATACTTGTCTAGATCACCTTGGAATAAAGAAAAGAGACGTTTAGAGACAGATTTTTTGTTTATGTATGTGAAATATAGCTAGCTTATGATTATGTTAGCTACCATATCTATAAATAAAGACTTTAGATGACATGAAACTGTGGTCAAAAGTCTGTCATAAATGTGAAAATGTTGGGGTGGTTGGATGGGGAAGGTGTTGTCGTCTGCAGTTATGTCCCCACCAATGTCAAAATCAAACCTCATCCTGGTCCTCGTGGATCCTCTTGCTCCTGATGTACTGATGTAGGAGGCCCTCTAGTGGTGCGATGTACCTTAAAGGGTTAGTTCACCCAAAAATGAAAATTCTGTCATTAATTACTCACCCTCGTGTTGTTCCAAACCCGTAAGACCTTCGTTCATCTTCGGAACACAATTTAAGATATTTTTGATGAAATATGAGAGCTCTCTGACCCTCCCATTGACAGCAAGGTAACTACCACGTTCAAGGTCCAGAAAAGTACCAAGATGATCGACAAAGTAGTCCGTGTGACATCAGTGGTTCAACTGTAAAGTTACGAAGCTACGAGAATACTTTTTTGCGCAAAGAAAACAAAAATAGCAACTTTATTCCACATTTTCGTCTCACTTTGGACGCGCGTTCACGACAGTATCATAACACGAGCGTGTGGCAGCGCTGACCCAGATCCGGCGTAATGACGTCATCACGCCGGATCTGGGTCAGCGCCGGCGCCACCACACGCTCACGTCATGGTACTGTCGTGAACGCGCGTCTAAAGTGATGCCGTAGAGACGAAAATGTGGAATAAAGTTATTTTTGTTGGTCCGAAGATGAATGAAGGTCTTACGGGGTTTGGAACAACACGAGGGTGAGTAATTAATGACAGAATTATTTTTTGTGTGTGAACTAACCCTTTAAAAAAAAACAAAAAAAACAACAACACTTGAAAGTCTAGAGCAGGGGTGGCGAACTCCAGTCCTGGAGAGCCGCAGCCCTGCAGAGTTCAGCTCCAACCCTAATTAAAACTCACCTGCCTGTAGCTTCCTAGTAACCCTTCAGACCTTGATTAGCTTGTTCAGGTGTGTTTGATTAGGGTTGAAGCAAAACTCTGCAGGGCTGCGGCTCTCCAGGACCGACGTTCGCCACCCCTGGTCTAGAGCAAATAAGGCAATGACAGAAAATGGCATTTTATGAGATCGGGATGTGGTTACATCTCCATTTCAGCAGAGATTTCATAAGGATATATTAGCAGACAAAGGCTACAGTATGTGCAGAATAGCATACTAACATCCAAACCTTACTATTTCTGCAGTATAGCATGCACACTGTATACTGTACTATACATACAAGTCAAGGTCATGTGAAAACAATGTAGCTTACTTCTGCATGAAACATAATATTACAAGAGTAAGTGCGTACGGTTTCACATTCTTGGTTGAATAAAAGCAGTCAATGCTCAAAATCTGTTTCTGGTATAAACCAAGAAATCAAGGCCGTTTCCACAGCGCTGACCCAACCATGAAGCAAAACATAAAGTGCTAGATATTTTATTAGCATATTCAATAATTACTGTCCCCATAGAAAAGAAACCACTGGTGTCTGTGTGATGTGCGTGCGTGTGTAAACATATTTAAAGAAAAGAAATACAATCAGGGAGCAAACGCAAACAGCAAAAATTACACCACTGTTCCCAAATCACGAGCACAAATTTCAAAAGCAGTCAATGCTCAAAATCTGTTTCTGGTACCAACCAAGAAATCAAGGCCGTTTCCACAGCGCTGACCCAACCATGAAGCAAAACATAAAGTGCTAGATATTTTATTAGCATATTCAATAATTACTGTCCCCATAGAAAAGAAACCACTGGTGTCTGTGTGATGTGCGTGCGTGTGTAAAAATATTTAAAGAAAAGAAATACAATCAGGGAGCAAACGCAAACAGCAAAAATTACACCACTGTTGCCAAATCACGAGCACAAATTTCCTCTCTGACAAGAATTAATGCCACTAATTATTCTCAGTGCTCAAAAAATGAACATCACTTTATCAAACACATAAACATACCAAGTAATAATTCTCTGTGGGAATTTCATACAGCAAAGGAACGCAGACTCTCTGCTTCTTTGTGCCTCCCTAAATGAATTCATGAATGAGTATTAGTTACTGTATAAACAAACACTTTCAAATAATGATACACAAATATACGTAATTAGAAATATATAAATGGAAACCGGTCCAGGCAGATGTACCCCTGAGAGAAAACCATGATCATGCAGAAAAAAATCTAAACAATGAATAATAATAATAATAAACAATCATACAATCACTTACAAGGACAAAAATAAATAATACAGTGCACAAAAGCTCATTGTGATATTGAATCTCTTGTCGCAAAGCTGTAATATATTCATAATTATACAATGCAAGTGCTGTTTAAGACATGATATTGGCATCAGGTTTTGCAACATCATAAGTATGTAAATACCTTTTATATAATATCTTTTAATGAGGACATTGTGTATGGAAGCTTATTTCTGCCACGGAATAAAAAATAAAGCTAATCGCGACTTTCTACCAATTCTAACACTTTTTCTTACAATTACAAGTTTATGTTTTGCAACTTGCAATTCTGAGTTTACATCTCAGAGTTCCAAGTTTACATTTTGCAACAACAAAAAAAAAAGTTAGAATTCTGAGATAAAAAGTTGCAATTACTTTTTTTTTGTTTCCGCCAAGTAATAAAAAAATAAAAGATTATTGCGACTTTTTATCCTATAATTCTGACTTTTTCCCGTAGATTCCTGACTACATTTCACAAGTTTAATTGTGAGTTTACATTTTGCAAGAAAAAAGTCAGAATTGTGAGATAAAAATTTCACATTTACCTTTTTTTAAAAAAATTCCATGGTGAAAACGAGGTTGACTTTTTCTTCTCTCCGAATTCTGACTTTACATCACACAATTCAGTTTTCTGTTATAATAGTTTTTTCTTACAGCTAACTAACTACATCTTGCAATTGTGCACTTGCAAAAGTCCGAATTTTGAGATAAAAACTCACAATTACCTTTTCAGTTTTTAAATTCTGTGGTAGAAATAAGCTTTAATAATTTTGATATTTAGAACATACATGACCTTGATAGACTCAATCGCACACGTGTACGCAAACATCTGCCCCAGTAAAGTCTGTGTGTTTGAGCGTGAGAGTCTTGTGAAAAGGCTGTGTCTGGGCAGTGAAGGCTGTGACGGATGTGCAGTTCCACAACATTTTCTACAGTCTCCAGAGTTTCTGTATCCATCTCAAAAGCACATTTATGTTGGAGTGAGACCGTAGCGGCTGGCACTTGTTTCCAAATCTCGAGTGTCATAAACCTGTGTGCGCAGATGCGTTGAACTCTTTGGTTTTCAAGAGCAGAGTCTCTGCACAAAGTTGTGCAATGTATGCATTTGTGCCCACAAGTCATAGGGTTGGTTTATATTGTGTGACTGAAATAAATATTCTGTCATCACTTATTCACCCTCTTGTCTATGCAAATCTGTATGACTTTCTTTCTGCTTTCTATGCTATAAAATGCAAGTCATGGTTCACTGAAATTTTTAAGCACTGCAAAACTGGTTATGAGGCAGATGAGAACGGTTAATATTTGGCATCACCGAAACTAAACAAAGCTGTGATTTGAGTCCGAAAAACGACTTTTAAAGCTTTATATGAAAACCTAATAAACTTCATATCAATCATGTGGCTTCAAGGACTTGTAACTACTTTTATGATGATTTTATTATTTATTTCATTGAATGAAAAAGAGAACATCATGCAACTTTTTCCTGTTGTTTTCCACAAAAGATAACAAGTGATAGAAGGTTTATAACGGCATGAGGATGAGTAAATGATGAACTTTATGGTGTGTTGTGGCACTCAAAAAGTGTGTGTTTGTGGTGTCTTAGTCCCAGAGCACCTGGGATGCTGCGGTTGAATGTCTCTTGGCCTCCAGTACCGAGTTCCTCAGCAGTTCATCATTGACTTCCTTCAACCTCTTCTCCTCCAGGAAGGCCACCAGTGAATCCCTCATGTCCACCACATCCAGCATCTCCTGCAGGACCCGATTCTCATGTTCTCGCTGCTCAGGGGTTTTCTCAGAGTCTACATGCACAAGAACATTGAAACACGTTAATGCATGTGTGCATGTTCACATAAATAAATTTTTTAAATTAATACTTTATTTAAATATCAATAACAATATTAATAACAACATAATTTAAATTTGATATTAATATTAACTTGTTTAAAAACTATTTAATATTACATAATTTAAAACAATAAAAACAAATGTATTTTTGGCTTTTTGCTAAGTGTGTTGGAGCATGTGCAACAGCTAAACAACAACAACAACAATAATAATTTATAATTTTATATTATTATTAGTGTTGTCAAACGATTAATTAATCAAATAAAAAAAAATATTTATTTTGGAGTAAAGATTTTTTTTTTTTTATTCATTGTGTTGAGCTAAACAAGTTAAACAACAACAAAGCAGCTAAACAACAACAACAACAATAATAATAAATTATTACTATTATTATTTCTATTCTTCTTCTTCTTCTTATTATTACTGTTATTAATTATACATGAAGCTTTCATGACCTCATATTACTTGCCAAATGGACTATTTGTAAATCAATCTAAATTCATTTGTCTCCTCACAGGACTATTTAAATGACTATTATATAAAGAAAATATAATGACGTAACAGCATATTTAGATATTAATAATGATTTTATTCCAATTTCATATTAAAATTAAATTATTAAAATTAATTATAAATATTTAATATTAATTTAAATTTAATTTTAGTAATTTAATTTTTGGTTTTTTAATTTGTGTTTTTATTATTAATAATAATAATAATAATTTTTTATAATATTATAAAAATACTAATAAAATACTAATTTTAATTAATATTAATAAAATATATTTTTTATTTACATTTTAATTTAATGATTATATATGACAGTCAACACTGTATAGTACTATTTACAAACTGAAATATTAGCAAACTAATTTCTCAGTAAAACAGAATCTGTTTTCAGCTCTCTCCAGCTCCACTCCTTTCTCCTCCAGCTCTTTAAAGGTCACTTCTATCTCATCCAGACGTCTCTGAATCGTCTGTGGGGGCGGCAGAAGCAGGACAGGACACCAAATCAGAATGAAAGTCAGATACTTTTCATCTTGACATAAATTAATACTGAGGTTTCTTTTATTGGTAACTTCTAAAGCATTTCCTAATCTTAGTTAATGTCATCATTTACTAATAGTCATTCAAATCAAAAGTTGCATCAGTTCAATTATTTAATGGAGCTGAGCCAACATGAACTAACAATGAACAGTTGTATGTTAATGTTAATGTTAGGTAATGCATTAACTAATGTTAACTAATAGGACCCAACTGTAAAGTGTGACCCTTCAATTTAAACTACATATGTTTACAATTATGGGAAACAATCTACACTGCTGAGACAGTTTGAAGAATGTGATCTTGCTCACCTGAGCTTTGTGGAAGCGCTGGATTTCGCTCAGCTTTGCTTTCCGCTCCAGAGTTTTCATCCTCTTTAGATCTCGTTTCTCTGACTCAGAAATCTCAAAATCAGCCCCCTGAACACACGTAACACAAACCCAAGTCAACAACTTCCTAGAGAACAGGATTTCATCAGTCTACCAGAAAACATGATGACATGATCTAGTGTTTTTCCCACCAAAATAAAAGCCACAAATATTAATACTTATTTATTGTATTATTTGATATATATAGTAGTTATCATATTGATCACATATATCATATAATCACAAAATGTTTGGCAGCCTTACAAACAAGCATAGCAAAGGTTGATTTTTTTTTTATGCATTTTAAATCCCAATCCCAATTTTTATCAAGGGAGAATATGAAAAGGAAAAAAACTTCTTTCTCCCAAATCGTGCAGCCTTTGTTCATGAAATGGCATGGTTTTATTCTGGGCAGTCATGCTCGAGTATCAGCAAAAATAACTGTATATTCCTCTTTGTTTGTAGAATTATGTTTGTAAAAAACTGTCATGCATAGAAATGTGGCTTCCTCATCCAAAATAAACTACGGACCAAGGGTTAAAAATCCTAATTTGAACATAATCTAACCTTGCAATCCAAATAATGGTCTTCTCCTTGAAGATCCTCTTCGTCATCGTCAACACCTTCTTCATTATCACCTGATACATAATGATCTGGCTGAGATTGTCCTGATGAAAATCATAGCAAAATCAGCTACTAAAAAATTAAGCTCAACCTAGAGCTCAGTACTAAAAGACACTTCATATTCAGTAATATTTTCGATTTGACTTTACTGACACTGACACAAAACTTTAACACTATTGTCTTCTGTAGAGCTGCTTTTATAGCTGAATCAAATTCATAATTGACCTAAAAATGAAAAATCTGTCATCACTTACTCCAAACCTGTATGAGTTTCTTTCTTCTGTTGAACACAAAAAAGACATTCTAAACGATGTGGGTAACCAAACAGTTGCTGGTAGCCATTGACTTAAAAAAAAAAAAATACTATGAAAGTCACCAGCAACGGTTTGGTTACCCACATTCTTCAAAAGATCTTCTTTTATGATCAGCAGAAGAAAGAAACGCATACCAGTTTGTAACAGGATGACTTGAGGATGTGTAAATAATCCGTGTATCATTCGATCATATTCTGCTGCGTGATACTGCGGAAGAACTGATGATGGCACGGTTTGATCTTCGGCTGAGGGCAGAAAGGGGCGTTTAATTCCCGCCCACGTGTAGAAATCAAATATTCAAGCTGTTTATTCATTTTTCCACCCATGAACGAAAAACGAAAATTTAAGCTGAATTCTCGTTTCTCGTTTTTTTGAAAAAAAAACGAACAAACGAAAAAGGAGCCGTTTTCTAATTTTTCTACTTTCAATATTAAATCAAAAAACGAATGATTGAATGATACACGGATTGTAAATGCGTGTTTTTTTCATTTTTCCATCAAAGAACTACTCTTTTGATCAGTCTACCAGCTGGTGTTTTCAGCAGTTTTCTGCCAAAATTAGAGCTTGATGGTTTGAAAATGAAGAAATTAAGACCGTAATAATAAATATTAGTATTGTACTGTACAGCTGTACTGTAACAATTATTATATTATTTTATTAAATACATTTTTATTTTACAGTAAAATATAACCGTAGTAGTCATTTTGGTTAATATTTGGACAGTCTAAATATTAGATGATGATAATAATAATAATACTTAAAAACAATTACAACAATGATGATGATGACAATAATATTAATAATAATTTAATTTTTTTTTAATTATTAACCATGTTGATCGATAATCACAAGATTTTTGGACAAATTGTGCAGCCTTACACACAATACTTTTAATTTAATTTAATTAATTTTTTTATTGACACTATTGTCTTTTTTAGAGCTGCTTTACAGCAGAATTTGAATTTGTCTCACATTTGAAGAAGTTTGCTATTTTAACAGAAATCTTGTTATTTTCCTGTTTCTTAATAATTTAATTTTTTTAAAATTATTAACCATGTTGATCGATAATCACAAGATTTTTGGACAAATTGTGCAGCCTTACACACAATACTTTTAATTTAATTTAATTTATTTTTTTATTGACACTATTGTCTTTTTTAGAGCTGCTTTACAGCAGAATTTGAATTTGTCTCACATTTGAAGAAGTTTGCTATTTTAACAGAAATCTTGTTATTTTCCTGTTTCTTACTCTGAAGCTCCTTTGAAGCAATCTGTATTTTATAAGGCGCTTTTATAAATCAACATGACTTGACTACAAAACATTGGGCTTCTAACCTGAAGGTGCGACTCTGAGGACACTGAAACGCTGCTGTAGTCGAGGTGAAGACAGATTCCATGGGGAAAACTTGGAGCGCATCTTTCCATGTTGCGGCTGTGTGGAAGCTGGCGGTTCGCTCTTCCTTCTCATGCAGCGCCGGTTCCGCAAGCTCTTCCCGGTCGCGGTGCCTCCGCTCCAGTAGCCCTCCTCCTCACCTCCTTCGTGCTGCTTGGAGGAAGAGGAGGTGGAGGCGGCAGAAGACGAGGCGGGCGTCTCCGTGTCTGAATCCTGGCTGAGCAGTTCGGCCTTCTCCTCTTCGCTCAGCTGAAGTTTACGCAGGGACGGTTTGGATTTGGATTCCGGCGGGAGGTTGTGATGAGTTTCCTCTTGGTTCTGCTCTGATTCCTTGGGGGCATGTGAGGGTTGAGGCAACACGTTATGGACAGTACGAGGTTTTGGGAGCGGAGGGTACAGTGGAGCTTTGGACGCTCGCGGGGCCGGCACTGGAACGGACGCACTGCCGTTATTTTGTTGGTTCTCGATGCCTGTGCTCTCCAGATTGAGCTCTGAGGGTTTGTTCGGTTCATGAGAGTTGGATGGCGGTTGGTCTTTTTGCTCTGTGGGAGTAAGACACTCAGCCGATTCTTCAAAGTCAGGGTCAACGGAGATCTTATACGAGCCCTTCCTTCTTACGGAGATGTGTGGAGGAGGAGATGAAATCTCCACGGGTTCACCACTTTGAGTTTTCTCCTTCTCATCCTCCTCATTAAGGCCATTTTCAACATGATTCTACAAAACAGAAAAACATTATTACTGTGATATTTTGGAACAGATATTTTGTGCAGGTGCATGAACTGTTACACTGTGAAACTGTTTTAGACACAGAAAAGTTTGTGGTCGGTATGATTTTTTAATATTAACGGAGATCTTATACGAGCCCTTCCTTCTTACGGAGATGTGTGGAGGAGGAGATGAAATCTCCACGGGTTCACCACTTTGAGTTTTCTCCTTCTCATCCTCCTCATTAAGGCCATTTTCAACATGATTCTACAAAACAGAAAAACATTATTACCGTGATATTTTGGAACAGATATTTTGTGCAGGTGCATGAACTGTTACACTGTGAAACTGTTTTAGACACAGAAAAGTTTGTGGTCGGTATGATTTTTTAATATTTTGAAAGAAGTCTCTTATGCTCACCAGGGCTGCATTTATTTGATCAAAAATACAATAAAAACAGTGAAATTGTTTTCTATGTGAATATATTTAAAAATGTAATTTATATTTGTGATGTAAAGCTGAATTTTCAGCATCATTACTCCAGTCTTCAGTGTCACATGATCCTTCAGAAATCATTCTAATGTGCTGATTTGCTGCTCAAGAAACTTTTCTGATTATTATCAATGTTGAAAGTAGTTGTGCTGCTTCATATTTTTGTGGAAACATTTGTAATACACTTTTTTAAAGATTCTTTGATTAATCAAAAACAGTGCGATCAGTGCAGTTAGATTTTGAATGAATAACTCATGACTCAAACATATACAGTTTACAACTAACTGAGACTTTAATTAATTAGGTTACTAAGTATTGTGTATTGAGTCAAGTATTGTCAAGTATTGTCTTTCTTTTGCAGCAAGGAAGAGATTGGTAGCAGCTACATTTTTGTCAGTGTTGGATTGTGATATCATATACATGCAGGCACCTAAGCATTGTTTACAGGCGTTGGATTCAGTTTATCATGGAGCATTAAGTTTCATCACAAATTCAAATGCCCTTACTCATCATATTTTATTGTACTCTATTTTAACATGAAATACTGCATTCATTGAAAAGTAATAGAGTCAATGCCTTTAAAATCCAATTTTTTAAGCCAGATTAGTGCCATCTGGTGGGAGTAAAATAAGAAAAACATCTGCAATTCCATGGTTTAGCCCATAGATTCCTATATAGCTCTATATAAAAGGCCTATAAATTCTCTAATTGTTTTTAGACATAAATACTTATTTTTATTAAGTTGTGGGTTTGGATATATTATTTAGACATTCTCAAAGACAACTTTTTTAAAAGGTTTAGATTTTTTTTTGGTTTGAAATGTTGATTTGAAGCATCAGTTTTTGAATTATTATTACTACAGTCAAACCTGAACACAGAGAAAGCATTTTGTTACACAAAACATTAAAATTCTATAAAAATGTAACATGAATGAACAGAAATGTTTTATCAGAGCTTAATCCTTCTGGGTTTGATCTGATTTCAGCCTCTTATTTCAGTTTTCTGACTCGTTTCGGCTATATGGTTATAGCCATACCAATTCATTTGAGTGTGTATAATTGTGTATGTTTGTGTATGTGTCTGCGAGGGTGTGTTTGAGTGAGTGTGTCTGTTTTGCACTCTTGATGTTTTAGAGTGTAACCCCATCCTTGCTGTCCACTTTTTTACTTCATTGTAGTTGAATTATTGCTTTTATTTGACATATTTGCTGTTACAGTCACACCAGTTCATAGGTTCATTTCCTATGGTCGGTCATTTTTGACCGAAGACCACAAGTGTGACTATTTTTTTTTACGACCACTTAGTCTGTTCGATTCATGCCCTCAATTTTTGTGTGTGTTCACATTCCAAATGCCATAAGAGTCACCAAGTTTCATACCATTCCGATGAATCTGTGATTTTTAAAAATTCAATACAGAAAATGTTTCGGTCAAAAGTGACCGAAGAGCACCAGAGGGTTAAGCATCCCTTTTAGTTATGCTGCTCCATTTAATTGGAATCAACTACAAGATAAGTTATGTTTAAAAGAGTTGGTATCACTAAATTATTTTAAAGGATCTATTTGTAGAGTCACCTGATTTGAAATGTTTTGAGTGATTTGTGTATGTTTCTGTGTATGTAACAAATATATTTTGTTTTATGTGTAACTAAATGTGCTGCCTGTCTTGGCCAGGACCCTCTTGTAAATGAGATTTTAAATCTCAAGAGTTTTTTAATTTCCTGGTTAAATAAAGGTACAATAAAAATAAAAAATAAAAAATTACATGAAATTGCTTTTTTCTTTTTTTTATACACACACATGCATAATTTCTGAAATTAAATTTGACTTATTTTACATAAGTAAAATAATACTTATTTGACATAATATTTAGTAAATTATATGAATCTGAAAATTAATAAATACGAAAAATCTAATAAAACAGTGAAATTAAGTGATTTACTATTATCAATAGTATAGTGACGTATAAAGCATTGCTCACAAAGACATTTCATATCAAGCCGCTTTCTATTGGTTAATATGCATGACCGTCTAAAATCTGTGTAAAACAGCCTTTCTGAGCATTCTCATCTTCAGCTGTGCATTAGCATTATGTTTGTTTAAAATAAGTAGTACTAAATCTGTTTGTCTTCAAGTCATACAGTTGAATAGGTTGCAACAAAATTGACAGCAAAAAATATCAGTAGCTCACAGAAAACTGCATTAGCTCTGAAGAGTCTTATGACCAACCACTAGGAATCCAATCCCAGCCACAGACACAGACACAGACACAGACAGACACAGACACATAGACACATAGACACAGGCACAGACACAGACACTCCACAGAAACGGATTCACAGCACAATCACACAGCGTTAAACACCATCCTGCACAAGAGCTGGAGAGGAAAGGAAATGTTTTCCCTAACGCAGCACCTGACCCACATTAGTTCTCGTCATATCATGTTGTTTCATAAGAAATGGCTGAATATATCTTAGTGAAGAAAAGACAATCAGTCTATCATACCATCCTAACATATTTAATAAAACTCATACAAATAAGAGCTCAACCTAACCCTTTAAGTTTGCACTATGGCCATGAATGACACCTCATATCATCTGTCTTGTTGAGGAGAGCTGTGCAATTATTTTTCTAAGTGATGGTACTTGCAATTTTCATCTGACAGATGATGAAACAGAAGAAAACAACTGAAAAACAGACCGTAGGAACCAAAAAATATATATATTACCATGGTATCATGTCCAAATAAATCAATTTAATATATATTTTTGCTAGGGCTGGACGATATGGCCAAAATTGATATCACGATACATTTCTTAATTTCGGTCGATACGATATAATTCCGATATCGATATGAACACTATTTATCTGAAATAGAAATCTTTTGTAACATTATAAATGCCATTCAACGAAGTCAAACGGCACAAATAAATCAATGTATGGGAAACTGGTAATGTATATCGAAATATCGGAAATGTGTTTAAAAATCATATCACCGTTATTGAAAAAAATTATATCGCGATACATATTGATACTGAATTATTGTCCAGCCCTAATTTTTGCATATATGAACTAGAGTTATGGCTTAATAATCAAAGTTATTATGCTCCCTACACTCTTAGAGCAATATCCCTCCCAGTATCCTCACACAAGAGATCAGACAGTAAATAGGAGGCAATCAAGCGTCTCATGAGCTCTGATGTGATTCATACCTGTGAGCCTCTGTGACCTTCATCACCCTCCTCTTCCTCGGCTGCTGAGTGCAGCTCACAGTAGAATCTCCCTGAAGACAAATCAAATTCAACAACATGTTCTGGACTGTTAATATCAAGGGCTGTAACATAGATGTACATGCTTTCTTCAGACAAGGGGTAAATTATTGAACAAGCCCCATAAGCAGGAGCATTTAAGATGATCTATTATTGAAGGTGTGCATAGGTGGTTGATTGTAATTAGACATATGTTGTAGTAATTAGAACCTAATAAAACAGCATTCCACACCGTACAAGTTATGAATAGCTTTAAAAGCTTATGTAATAATTTACATAACATCAAGATGTTTCAGTCCTTATGACAGCAGATGAGAGACAAGTGCATGATAGATAATAAAATAAACTGCATTACGCAACATAAGAAATATAAAAAACAACAACGCTGAAATATTTATTATCATTCAGAAATTATTAAATCTATACTGTATTTAGGCCTACTTTTACCTACTGTTACTCATTGATCTACAAAAATAAAATATGAATAAAAAATCAAGTAAAATAAAATAAAGTATAAGGTAAAATAAAATGAAGTATAATCAAATAAGATGAAGAATAACAAACTACAATAAAATGAAATACAATGAAGCATAATAAAGTAAAATAAAATGAAGTAAAATAAGCCTTATTAAACTTCATTTTATTTTACTTTATAAAACTTCATTTTATTTTACCTTATTAAGGTAAAAAAATATTATACTTCATTTTATTTTACCTTAATAATGTAAAATAAAATGAAGTATGATAAGGTCAAATAAAATGAAGTAAAATAGAGTAAAATAAAATGATGTATAATAAAGCAAAATAAAATGAAGCATAATAAAGTAAAATAAAATGAAGCATAATAAGGTAAAATAAAATTAAGTAAAATAAAGTAAAATAATAATAAAAAATAAAATGAAGCATAAATAAAATGAAGTATAATAAGGTCAAATAAAATAAAAAGCTCTACTTCTTATCAAGGATTTTTGGTATGACCATGTATCCCAGGCTTACCCGTGTCGGAGTGGAAAGTGTATCCGCCCTGCCGCAGAGTGGAGCCGCACTGATAACAATTGAAACAACTGCGATGGAAGAACTTGCCCTCTGCACTTCCTCTCTCCAGCACGTACAGACGCTTGTTGCAGAAATAACAGAGCTCACTGCCGCCCACCTCTGATGAGGACACTGGCACCACAGGCTGGAGATATGAAAAGGTTTAAGATACTGCACATTAGGGCTGGGTGGTATGGCCAAAACAATTATCACGATGATTTTTTTCATATCAGTCGATATCGATAATTATCACGATAAATGTCAAATCTTTATTTCTTTCAAGTTTAAAGCCAGACTTTTGCTCTAAAGTGAAAGTTGTAGAAACCAGACCATTAATTTAATACCATGGTGCAGTGAGTGTTACTACAGTAAATCCATGGTAAATCATGGCGATTTGTAGATTGAAAAGCCTTCTGACTGTCTCGTTGCACACAGTGTTTCTCCTGTTTGGTTTAAATCACCGAGTCATTTGTGTTCATCGCTGAATACAAGCGCTTCACACTGGATCTCACAGCGCTGCTTAATGCTCGTGTGACCGAGTAAAACGCATCTGCTCTAGTGAGCTCGCGCCGTGCGGCTGTTTGAACTTTGATCCGAGCGGATAATCGGTCCGTGGGGCGCGATTCAAATGAGTCGCGCTGTTTGGTTCCGCTTTTGGTGCATAAACATTATATCGAACATTTATCGCACTCTTCATATTGTTTTATCGAGGGAAATTATATCGCGATAATTATCGTTATCGAATTATCGCTTAGCCCTACTGCGCATATAATGAATATGAAGCAATGCATTACAAGAATTGACTATTCATATATATCTCCATACACACACACACACACACAGGCGTTAACTGCATCGCAATAGCACTCTTGCACCATTTCATTGAGAAACTTTATTTCACCACTTACTTTTTCCTCTTTCACATCCGTATCCTCTTCTTTCTCCTTCATCTTTTGCTGTCTTGGTCCTTTCTCTGATGCCAGTCGGTCCTGAGAGACAGGTCACATGATCTCATTTACAGCTTAGGTTACGTAATGTGGCGACAGCAGATCGACAGAAATAAACAATGATTTCACCATTATCCTGCACTGCAAATGCACAGCAAGCAAACAGTAGCATCCCTTTGGTCTCATCCTTTTATCATTCGTTTAACTTCCTCATTGTAGCGACAGCATGGGAGTAATTAGCTTTGGCAACAGTTGTGTGTGTAACGGGGGCGTTTAGTGTTTTCCTCAATGCTGTGGTTCGTTACGACAGAGATTGCACATGCTCTATTTCACCCAACACACTACACATGATCTTTGACAGGCACTACTGCTACAATGTCATCAATAGGTGGGTTGTTTTACATGATAACAGGCAGGCGTTGGAGTACCTTGCGTCTTTGGAGGGAGTTGCGCTTGAGCGTGTTGAGGAAGGCGGCGGCCGAGCGGGTTCTGGACAGCGAGAGGGTCTTGTTGTTGGGCGAGAGGCTGTTGGAGCACTCTGAGGAAGACAAGAGGAGCGAAAATAGTGAGATGCAAATAAATCTGAAGAAATTAGTCTTCCAGAAAGGTTTCCACGCGTATATCTGAAGATACATGTTGGCTCACTCAGCACTAAAAGCAAAGTACAATTGTATAAATTACAAAATAACTTAATGTGACAAAGAAAGAAAATGTTATGTAAAAGGAAAAATGCTTAATTTTCAAACCAAAAATAATGACCAAAAATAATAAAAAACAAAACATTACACATAACCCGTCCAAAAAACATGATCTATTATTTAAGCTTTTCATATCGCAGCAAAACCTTATTAAATGAAAACAAAAACAAATAAAAATAATAGTAAACGCTAATAAAAACAAAATCCAAAACAAACAAATAAAAAAATATAAAAATACAAATAAATAAATCTACTAATAATCGATAATAAAATAAAAATCTTACAATCTTAAAAGTACTGATTTTGCTGTTCAACAACTCAAAGCAATAACATAATATAAATAGTTAATAAATATCTAAATACATTTAAAATAAAAACAAAAATGTAGTTCAAAATTTTTTTTTTAAATGAACAATTTTAAAACAAAATAAAAATAAATAATTACATTTAAAATAAATGTAGTACAAACATTGTGAATTGTAAATTAAACGTAAATTAAAAATGCTTCAAAAGTATTCAAATCCTGAACATTATAATCACCAAAGAATAACTGAACAAGAAAAGCGTCATTTGCAATCTCTTTCATAATCCAGAACAACCTAACAAAAACGGTGCATTTTAGATGCAATTCGCTAGATCGCTTCAGCAATACATAGCAACAAATAACAAAATATAATAAAACAACTTCCTACCCTTGGAACTGGAACAAATACACATTCAGTCACACGTCACATTCAATATGCGGTTTGCAGTGTTGTGTTAGAGATGAGTTGTATTGGATCCCACCCCCTTCCCCAGAATTCACACATCCACAGCCTGCGTGAGTGACAGCGCAACCTGGAGCACATCTGTGTGAGATCCCCTCCCAAACACAGCATTCAACAACTAAACGCTCAATCCCGCTGCCTAAAGCCCCTCTAGCGGCTGCGGTTCCTCCTCTGCAGATGCCGTTTTGTAATCTGTCTCATAGAGTGGTGCGTGTCGAGGCCGGACTGAGATCCACTACCACCGAATCGCCCATAAGCAGCTGATTTCTCACCGGCTGAGTGCATTTGCTGCTGCAGCCGCTGCTGTCAGACTACAGGCTACAGCAGAATACTGCCCATTCACAGCAGTGCATGCTGGGAAGGGGTCTTAAAGAGACAGCAGCACTGATAGCAATTATATAGAGCATTCATCAACTTGTTTCTCTTACATACTCTAAAAATGACCTTTTTTTTACACTTGAATTTTCATCCAGATCATGCATTGAAACCATGTTGAAAATTCACAGTTGAGAACTCGTGACAATATTGGTCACAACCATTAGCATGTTAACATACACTACTGTTCATAAGTCTGGGGTCAGTAAGATTTTTTGTTTTTTTTATTAAGAAATTTATATTTTTATTCAGCAACGATGCATTAAATTGATCAAAAGTGACAGTAAAGACATTCATGTTACAAAAGATTTCCATTTCAAATAAATGCAGTTCTTTTGAACTTTCCATTCATCAAAAAATAGGTATCACAGTTTTTACAAAAATATGAAGCAGTACAACTGTTTTCAACATTGATAATAATTACAAATTCTTCCTGTGCAGCAAATCAGCATATCAGAATGATTTCTGAAGGATCATGTGACACTGAAGACTGGAGTAATGATGCTGAAAATTCAGCTTTGCAGCACAGGAATAAATTAGATTTTAAAATATATTGAAATGGAAAACAGTAATAATTAAATAGTGATAATAAAACAGTGATTTTAAATTAAATTGTAATAATATTTCACTTTATTACTGTTTTTACTGTATTTTTGATCAAATAAATAAATCTTACCAACACCAACAGTAGTGAACAGTAGTGTACTCCCACCCATATTTACACATACATTACCCCTACAAAAGGTACTAATATGTACACTTTAGGTACTAATATGTATGATTTAGGGGTAAATAAGAGTACAAAGATGTACATTTTGGCTTTTGTACTGCCCTAGTGACAGATTGCACCATTTTTTTCTGAGAGTGTAAATAAAGGCAACAGCTAGTATACATTTCAGACATTCAGACATCATTAAATATGCATTTCAAAGTTATGAATGCCTCCAGAAATGGCCCCTCATTACCTGCTGGGGTCTCTTTCTCAGTGAGAGCGTTGCGTATCTGTGTGAGGTAGACGACCATAGAGAGCTGATCAATTTTCCCACAGGTGGTCATTTCACTGGCCCGCATGACGGGAGTGATGCCAAACTCTCTCTCCATGAGGTCAAAGGCCAACTTATTGGTCCCAGTGATATTATATTCATCTAGACTAGACAAGTCACTGAAAGAGAGGATAGCATGCATATTATTTGCATACAGTTAAATGTATTATAAATGTATTTACAGTGTAGTCTATCTATCTATCTATCTATCTATCCATCTATATCTATCCATCCATCCATCCATCCATCCATCTATATTCATCCATCCATCCATCCATCCTTTCATCCATCCATCCATCTATATCTATCCCTCTATCCATCTATATCCATCCATCCATCTATATCCATCCATCCATCTATATCTATCTATTCCTCTATCCATCTATCTATATCTATCCATCCATCTATCTATATCTATCTATCCATCTATATCCATCCATCTATCTATATCTATCTATCCCTCTATCCATCTATATCCATCCATCCATCCATCCATCCTTCCACCCATCCATCCATCTATATCTATCCATCTATATCCATCCATCTATATCTATCTATCCCTCTATCCATCTATATCTATCCATCCATCCATCCATCTATCTATATCTATCCATCTATATCCATCCATCTATCTATATCTATCTATCCCTCTATCCATCTATATCCATCCATCCATCCATCTATCATCTCGCTCAAATCATCATTTAATAAAAAAATACAGTAAAAACAGTAATATTGTAAAATCTTATTACAAATCGAAATGTTTTCTATTTGAATATATTTTAAATTGTAATTTATTCCTGTGATGGTAAATCTGAATTTTCAGCATCATTACTCCAGTAATGAAAACTAAGGAAGCCCATAACCGCCACTGAATAAAATTTTTTAAAAAGGCAACTTTTTATCTCACAATTATGACTTTATATCTTTAAATTGAGAAAAACAGTCAGAATTGTGAGATAAAAAGTCGCAATTACCTTTTTTAATTTTTATTCAGTTGTGGAAACAAGCTTCCATTCGAGTTGAGGTGATATTTTTTTTCAGGATTTGATTAACAGATTTTTTTTTTAAATAGAAATATTTTATAACATCATAAATGTCTTTACTGTGACTTTTGATCAATTTAATACATCCTTGCTGAATAAAAGTATTAACTTCTATGAAAACAATCTTATTGTCCTCCAACTTTTGAACTGTAGTGTATCTAGCAAGAACTTTTCACAACAAAACTGAGCTCTGCATGTTTAAGAGTTACTAATATTCTTGTTCGCTGTTGGTTAAGGTGATCTTACATGAGTTCAGGTCTGAAGTTGTGGATGAGAGCGCAGAGAGCCATGCCGGACCTCCAGGACTCACTCAGGTCTTTCACCTTCACATGTTTGTACCCCGCTGTGTTCTTCTGACACCAGGACAGCAGATCCTCTAGACGCCTGAGAGACTCTAAACACAAATTCAGTTCATCATTTCACTGTAAACTCTGTGTTTCTCTGCATTTTCATACTATATACTATAAAGACCAGTAGACTCATTTGCATATAACAATAACAGGCTCTTTGGAAGGCCATGAAACACTAAAACACATTTTTGAGATGTTAACAGCTATATAATGTTAAAATATTAACATACATTAACAGATGTTGCATATTATTGTAAACAATCACACTATTTTTAATTGTTGAAGGCCTTTTTTGCTCTTTTTCAACAAACTTATGGTTAAACAAACAAACAAACAAACTAAATTAAAATGCTAAAAACACTCAGTGTTTTAGAAGTTAAAGTGATACCTTATAATATATGTGATACCATATTATATAGATACATAGATACAGTAACTGTTGTATGGCATTTACCTTTTTTAGGTTTAATTATTATGATGGGTTTCATCGGTTTCTTGGCTTTACAATCCTCTATGTCATACAGACGCTTGACCTTTAAATTGAACACAAACAGTCTTAAAAAAAAACCTCTATGATGATAAAAAACCACTTCCATTGCTAGTTACATCAGGCAGCTTTTGCATGTGAGTAAGTGTGCGTCTAGGACTTTGTGTTTGACCTGTGTGGGTTTGATACAGGACAGGCTGACGTTCGGGTAACGTGTGGAAGGATCGATGCTGTAGGATGCGTAGTTCTTGCTGGTGTTTTCTGGAGTCGTTTGAGAGAGTAACTGATACATGCTCTCCCTGTAAAAGATATACACAGCATAACGCACTGCTGCATCATGTATGCATTTTATATTGTTTTATATCGACACATACAGTTCGTAAGTTCAGTGTAGCTAAGATTTTAATGTTTTTTAAATAAGTACTTTATGCTTACCAAGGCTGCATTTATTACTAAAAATACAGTAAAAACATTAATAATGTAAAATATTATTACAAATTAAAATAAATTTTTCTAATTTAATATATTTTAAAATGTATTTCTGTGATGCAAAGCTGAATTTTTAGCATCATTACTCCAGTCTTCAGTGTCACATGATCCTTCCGAAATCATTCTAATATGCGGATTTGCTACCCAAGAAACATTTCTTATTATTATCAATGTTGAAAACATTTGTGCTGCTTCATATGTGTGGAAACAGTAATGCATTTTTTCAGGATAATTTGATAAATAGAGAAGATGGAGAAAAAAAAAACAGCATTTATTTGAAATAGAATTTGTTTATGTTATAAACAGTGTGAAAATGGTAAACTGTACCTCTCCGCCAACAACTCCAGGGGTAGCACACCTTTTCCCCAATTCCTGACCATCCACGCCGTGTCAAACGCAGCCAGGAAACCTCGAGCAATGCCAGTGCCCAGAGGCCAAAACGGCTGCAGGAAAAAATTAATCAAATTAAATCAAATTAAATAAAGAAACAAACAAATAAATGAATAAAAATATGGCCGATATTTATATTTATTTTTGATGGCCAATTCACCGTTGTACTGTTTAAACAGTGTTTACAATAAAATTCTAATTTTATATAGAATGATCACACATTATAATGTACAAACAAAGACATTGTAGTTCTTCTGAAAGCTCAGATTGAAAAATATAGTTCTGAAATAGTTCCAAAATAAGTCCTGATAGTATTTGCCTACATTATCAGTCTAATCGGCTGCCCTGTTTATTCGTACACTATACTCATAACCCACCTCTACTAGAGAGTCTCCCACCAACGCGACGAGCAGTCTCTTCCCCTTCCTCTCCTTCACCAGAGAGGCGTTCTCTGCCCTGTGCATGCAGGTGAAGTCAAACATGGCCACGTCCGGACGGCCCGCGTGGTTCTTGGCGAACTCCAGGTCCGGCAGCATGTGATCTGTGGAGAAGTCAGCGGCGTCGTATGCGTACTCCTGCAGGGCCTCCTGGTTGACGTTTGCAGGTGCGAGCAGCTGATTGACATCAGGAAAGTCCTGAGAACAAGAAACAAGAATGGCTTAATGTTAATCCTGTGACACTGAAGACTGGAGTAATGATGCTGAAAATTCAGCTTTGATCACAGGAATAAATGACATTTTACAATAAATTCAAATAGAAAACAGCTACTTTAACTTGTAATAATATTTCACAATATTACTGTTGTTATTTATTCCATTTGTACTCCACCTGAACTAAATATACAGGCTGCATTTCTAAGCGAACACAAATAGCAACTGTCTGCAGCTATTCCAGTGAGAATACAGTGACAAAAGAGGACAAGCATAGCTGTGAAGATTGATAAATGTGTTTGTAAGTGTAAATGCGAGCTGGAAACGGGTTGAAACACGCCTGAAGTATCACCTCTGCTGATAAAAGCATGGCCTCTTTTCCAAGCGTTTCTAGGCTCTGTTCAGCCTTTATATAAGATATTCTCAAAGCCTCAGCTCTTTGTACATGTTTCACTGTGTCGTACCTGCTTTATCACTCCTTTTTTTAACAAGCTCCCCTTTTTTGCAGTCATCACAAAATAGTGAGTATCATCTTTGTAGTAGACAATATTCTCTAGATCAACGCCTGGAAAACATAAATGACAGGGCAGAGATGAAGATGTGTGTAGGTTTGCTTAGAACTATATTTTGGAGACAGCTAAATTGAACAAGAAGGAAAAAAAATTTTTTTTTTTAATGAAAACAGTTGATGGTATATTCTCAGTGAGATGAAGTAACTGTGAGTCTGTACCGATCTCAGACTGGAGCTCTTGGAAGAATTTCTGGTTGTATATTCGTGCCACGCCGCTGATCTCCTGCACCTGAGCCTCTTGTTTAGTGTGGCGGTTTACGAAGTTTGCAGTGATACCGATGGCCAACTTTCCCCTGAGCTCCTTTATCTTAAAACCTGAAGACACATGGGGAACAACAACAGTGGGAAAGGGTCAATAAAAAAAAAAAAACGTAATAAATAAATAAAGATTTAAATGCATTTAATTTAATAATAAAATAAAAGATTATCCAAGTCACTTTGTGCTAAATAAAAATATTTATTACAAAGTGACTTGGATAAGGTATGTTCTTTTTTTATTACATTTAATTAATAATAAAATAAAATAAGCATTTCGTACAAAGTGACTTGGATAAGGAGTGTTTTTAGAACAAAAACTATTTTATTTTATTTATTTAAAAAAAATTTTTTTTTTTCCGTTCTACAAAATAAAATAAAATTTGTTGTATAAACTCACCTTATAAATAAATAAATAGTACAAAGTGACTTGAATAAGGAGTGTTTTTAGAACAAAAACTATTTTATTTTATTTATTTTAAAAATTGATTTTTTTTTCCGTTCTACAAAATAAAATAAAATTTGTTGTATAAACTCACCTTATAAATAAATAAATAAATAAATAAATAAATAGTACAAAGTGTCTTGGATAAGGAGGGTTTTTACAACATAAAAATAAATAATTTAAGATCAAATTTAATTTCATAATAAAATAAAATAAAAAAATATTTAACGCTTTTAGTACAAAGTGACAAAGTAAATTTCATGGAATCCGCTCATCTGTGTAAATGTTTTATTTACCATCAGGCACATATCTTCCCCCTCCAGCTGAAATAAAAACATCAAACTCAAAAGCAGCAGCTGTGTGGGACCCAGGAGACACCTGTGCCCTCCATCCTGAGAGAAAGAATGAGAGAAAGAGATGAGACCAAAAGTTAAAGGACAAATGTCATTTTTCAACTACACTACCGCAGATCTTTTCACTTTCTGTGACAACAACTAAAGCTGGTTTGTACCTGTGGATCCTCCTGCTGGCTCAAGCAGACCTTCAAAGGTCACACCTGTGTGCACCTCGACCCCCAAAATCAGAGCCAGTTTCAGCAGAATCAACTGCAGCTGACGGATACCTAGAGAAACCCAGATCTCATTACTACAGTACACCTCAATTAAAGTTATGCACATTTTCAGCAATAAGAAAAGAAGTTTCACTTTAACAATGATTTGTCTGTATTTACCGACTCAATACACATTCCTGGTTCTATTGTACACCATTCATTAGTGCACACTATTCTAAACAAATGTTTTCATAATCTTTCATCCAAATGTACAAACTTGCTCTGCCTTTAAATCTGATATACCGTAGGCCAGAAAATATATTAACCAACAATATCATAGTTGAACATTTCACAATCCAATCAAATCTGGATACATTTAAGTCCTGCTACACATTGTTTTGTGTGTTGAATGACATTTCACTCAGAAATACTCTCAAATATTCAAAAGTTAGAGGTCAGAAAGATTTTTTTCAACAAGGAACGATAAAATTGATCAAAAATGACAGTAAAGACATTTATAATGTTACAAAAGATTTTTCTTTAAACAAACTTTAAAAATTTTTTAATCAAAGAATTCTTGGATTAATCCCAGGAATAAATAACATTTTACAAAATATTCAAATTGAAAACAATATTTCTGTTTTTACAGTATTTTTTAACAAATAAATGCAGCCTTGGTGAGCATAAGACACTTTTAAAAACACCTTTTATTTCTCAGATCCTCAGGTCTTTGAATCAATTTTGGACGCAAAATTGGGTTGTGAATGTCATTCATGTTGACTGTAATTAATTTGGTAAAAAAATAAAAAATAAAAAAGCAAAACATATAGATGCTCACTTATGTGATGAATGGATCCACTGCAGAATCTGCCATAGAATTTCTTTGCACCAAGGTTGAGAAGGTCTCGAATGGTGTACAGCCACAGGTGCAGGACGTTATTCCTCATGAAAGACACTCTTTTGTCCAGTACAACTACCTGAGCGCCTAGTAGAGCCAATTCAATCGCTGTCCTGAGACCACATGGACCCGCACCCAACACTAAACACTAACACAGAGAAAGAGAGAGATTGCACACAGTACATACAGACTTGTTACATTTCCCAGCGTTAAACAACTTTATAGATAGAAATCTCATTTATCAGGTCATTTATGGTACCTTGTGTTGGTGACATGCCTGACCCTGTTCATAGTCCGGATGGGCGGCTCTCTTGTCGATCTTCTGCCAGAGGTCTTTGGCTTTCCAGTAGTTGAGTCTGTCCTTCAGTTTGCTGTAGAAGTGCTTGTAGTCCCTGGGCTCGACCTTCAGGTGGCGACAGAGTTCGATGAAGTTCTGCTGTGTCTCTTTACACGTCTGCGCCTGGACAAAGCGGTCAAACAGAGCGTGGCTGGGATTATAACGTTAGCCAACATATTAAAACACAAGTTGAAAACAATAGGAAGGTTTATCAAGAAATAGCATTAAAACGGCTTTTAAAAACGTACTTCGTGTAGGCTATATCGTCTAAAAACAAAATGCAACAATGCCCATTTTACTTACTCAGGCCATGCGTTATTTGTTCAGTGAAATTATCAACGTGGTCTGGTGAAAGACGGGACCTGAGGCGATTAACAATAAAATTCCTGCACTTGAAAAAACGCGCTCGGCAGGAACTGAAGTCGCAGGCACGCAGAGATAACGAAAAGCAAGCCGATAAGAGTTTCAGAAAGCGCCTGGACATCCCGCACCACCACCGAAGTGGGTCTTCGTTAGAGGAATAGACGGCACGGACGCGATCGCAACGGCTGCGGGTTGTAGTGAATGACGTGATTGACATTTGCTGGCTTTGGCCAGCCTCTAAGCTAACGCCTACGTGCCTGTATTGAATATGATTACGCATCGCTCCAGTAGAGTTATTGTAAGACAATTTGACATTACACAGTTTACACAAACCTTTTCAGTTTCCTTCTAATTCAGAATAATCCCACACCTTCTCGTCTTTCGCATGGTCATTTTTGAACTCGCCGCAACTGACACGAAGAAAACGCATGTGAGGTCTGAGGTAAAAATGTAGTTTCCACCCAGATAAACTTTTAAAAATAATGTATTATTTTTCAAACGTTTTATTTTAACTTGTTATTTAAAATGTTTTAAATGCAATGTTAAAATGACAGTAATTTGAATGATAAAATAATGTTTCTTTTTTTTTTCTGTCGTGTAATCGACTATTGTTTTCAGTGTTGACTAGTAGGAGCTGATCCGTTTAGTCGACTAGACCCGCACATCCCTAACCGTGATACCGTGATATTTTTGCTTAAGGTTATCATACAGTAAAAATCTCATACCGGCCCATGCCTAGTTTCACTGGTTGACATAAAAGGTATTTAAACAACCTCTGAACATTAATTGTGGCATGTAATACAACCAGTATTTGTGCGATAAATATCTCAGTAATCAGAATTACTGTAATTAATTGTTGTAACTACAGAATTACAACAGCAGTTCTGCAAGTGAAAAGCCACACCCACCTTTTTTCTTTAGAAATTATTATAAAAGAAAAAAAACAGATTTGTTCTGGCTGATATATTGCAGTGCGGTATAACTGATAGTTCACTAGAACTAGTACTGATAAGTTCCCGGGAAATTAATGGATAGATTTTCAATGCAAAACAAATCCAAAAGCATAGAGGTGACAAAGAAAAGAAGACTGATGAAACAAATCCTGTTATAATTTGTATCGAGAAGGATTTCTCTTCTGCATTTAATTGGTCTGCATTGCTTTCTGTCATGACTAAACTTCTGCAACAGTTCATTTATAATAGAAAATGTAAGTATCTACAGGGTTTCCGCAAGTTTTCTAAAGACCTTTTTAAGACCAAGTAAAGAAACTTTAAAGGTCCCATGTTGTCAAAACTGAAATATCTGCTTTTGAAGAAATATTGTAGTATCGTGCTACAGCGCACATTCTATTAGTTACATTTCTGGCGTCTCCTTCTCAATGTACTGTACAACGCCACATACATTCACATCAAATGTTAACTCAGTGGTAGAGTTACACTCACGGGACACTGCACTTATTCACAATCACAAAAGTACATTATTTGCATGTGCTTTAAAGCCTTGCTGGTTAAACATTTCGTTTGTGTGCTGTCCTGAGCGTGTACACCTGAAATGGCACACACTAAAAAGCCTGTTAATCAAGCCTGATTACTGGACTAAGTTATCTTTCACATCTGATTGCACTAAATACTGTCAAAACACACAAGGTTTACAAATAAACTTAGCTGGTTTTGTTTAAAGTGTAAGTAAACAGTTGAGAGAAAAACATCTGTGTCTGTATATTAGATGCGTGCAGCTCTTAAAGTGACAGCAGACTAACAGTATTAAACATGCTGCCGCTTGTCATTAAAGGGCTAGTTCATCCAAAAATTTAAAATTCTGTCATTATTTACTCACTCTCATGTTGTCCCAAACCTGTATTCATTTCTTTCTTGTGCTGAACACAAAAGAAGATATTTTGAAGAATGTGGGTAACTAAACAGTTGCTGGTCCCCATTGACTTTGATAGTAGGAGAACAACTGGGGCGCCAGCAACTGTTTAGTTACCCACATTCTTCAAAATAACTTTTATGTTCAACGGAAGAAATAAACTCATTCTGGTTTAAAACAAATTGAGAGGGAGTAAATGAAGACAGAATTTTCATTTTTGAGTGAACTATCACTTTAATGTTAATAAAACAACAAAACACAAAAAGAAAAATCACTCTGCTCTTGAATGAAGAATTTTAATACAGTTGCTTTAAGAAGAATCAATTATTTATACAGTGAAGTGTATATAGTGTTTTATTTATTTGTTCATTCAGTTTCTTGAATGCTACTGCTAAATAACCTACTGTACCTGAAAAATAAAGCACTTTTTGTTTTATTTCTATATTATGTGTATTTGTAATGTGTATCTTTGTTCTTATTTTTTAATAACAAAGATAAAATAATGACAAAGATTTTTATCTTCACCCACTTTGGCCTAAATATCTGCCATTCTTTTTTATTGTATATTTTGTTACCTTGTAAGGCTTTGTTTTTAAAATAGGGAGATTAGTTTGGCTGTCCTGCTCAGAAAACGTAAAAAATAGTAAAACCATCATGACAAAGAATCGTGATAAAATCGTGAATTGTGATTTTCCAGAAAAAAAACATTATATTTTTGCCATATCGCCCATCCCTAATTTTAAGCATAAACTAACTTACTTTTGATCAGTTTCTCATAAAGCAAGAGTTCATATGTTCAGTTTGCATCTCAAGAAATATATCTTGATTTAAAGACGTTTAGATATTTGTATCGGAAAACAAGGCAAAAATACTGACACAGAAAGATATTCATTTTTAGCAATGCATGCAACATTTAATGCCATGGCTTTAGGAATTTAAGAATTTCTGCTCTGATTTAAAGGCACAATATGCAAGATTTTTTGACTCGTGTACTTGCATTATCCCAAATGTTTCAAAGAATGTATAAATCCAGAGAAATAAGCAATTTTAACTAGTGTCATTGTGTCGCCTGCCAATGACGTCATACACCCTCGATTCCGGTTTTGTTTTGTAGAAAACATGGAAACACCAAAGACGCTTTAATATGTTATACGTTTTATTATACGCGTGACGACCGCACAGAGTAGCATTATAACATAACTTTCAAATGTATCTAGTATGATAAAACAGCGATGCTTTACCCCACATACGCACGACCGGAAGGAGCGGAAGCCGGCGTCGACTGTGGCATAACAAAATCTCAGCTGCTTTCGAGCCGTGTGTCGCGCTCGTCTCTCATTAGCAATTGCTTCAGCAGCCTCGTTTCGCTTCGACGGCTTTCAGCCTCACCCTGCTTCATACTACGCCGTTAATAAATCTTTAATACATTAGCTCATCAATGAACATGATTTCTGCGGCTGCCCAAGTCCCGTCGGATTGCATCGGCTGTGGGGATGAAGACGACAACTCCCATGATTCCACACTCAGTCACGGCGTCATCAAACTACGCCTTTGTTTCTTTGTTTGTTTTGAAAATGCGCCCTCTAACGGCAAAAACTTACATGTTGTGCCTTTAAAAAAACCCTGATCTATATAAAATTGTGACAACAGCAGTATATAGTGGAGATCAAAATTAGAAAACAGCTTACAATGTAAGACAACATGTACGTAGGGATGTAATGATGCACCCCGAGCCGGCTGAAAATCACTAGAAAATATGTGACAATTCAAGTCGGTTGAGATATTAAACGGTTGGTTTAAAATTAAACAGTTGGGGGTGGAAGTTTATATGAATGCATCTCTGAGGGGAACCTGACTATCTCTAGAGAAGTTTAGATGGTATTTTCTTTTCATCTTGCCCCTGTATAATGCCTATTAATAGTATTTATAAGCAGCACTGCTTTGTTTACAGCAGTAACCAAGGAAACACTATATTGCTGCTGTTCTATGAGTGCCACCTGCTGTCAGAGAGTGAATTTGCACTCTCATTCAGCCAGTCTGCTTTTAAAGTAGTTTTATTTAGCATAATTTCACAAAGCTAATATCAGACTAGGGCTGCACGATAAATCGCATGCGATATTTAACGCACATCTTGTCAGAAAACCGGTTCTGTAATCAGCGGTAAATCTCCATCACGTGCGTGCTTTCACATTGAGCAGCATTAACTACACAGAGCCGTTGTTCACTGACAAGCTGCGCAAAACCAC